CGGTTTGTGCTCTACCCTCCCCTCTTTGCCTGCCGGTTTGTGCTCTACCCTCCCCTCTTAGGTTGCCGGTTTGTGCTCTACCCTCCCCTCCTTGGTTGCCGGTTTGTGCTCTACCCTCCCCTCTTTGGTTGCCGGTTTGTATTCTACCCTCCCCTCTTTGGTTGCCGGTTTGTATTCTACCCTCCCCTCTTTGGTTGCCGGTTTGTGCTCCACCCTCCCCTCTTTGGCTGCCGGTTTGTGCTCTACCCTCCCCTCTTTGGCTGCCGGTTTGTGCTCTATCCTCCCCTCTTTGGCTGCCGGTTTGTGCTCTATCCTCCCCTCTTTGGTTGCCGGTTTGTATTCTACCCTCCCCTCTTTGGCTGCCGGTTTGTGCTCTATCCTCCCCTCTTTGGCTGCCGGTTTGTGCTCTATCCTCCCCTCTTTGGCTGCCGGTTTGTGCTCTATCCTCCCCTCTTTGGCTGCCGGTTTGTGCTCTATCCTCCCCTCTTTGGTTGCCGGTTTGTATTCTACCCTCCCTCTTTGGCTGCCGGTTTGTGCTCTATCCTCCCCTCTTTTGGCTGCCGGTTTGTATTCTACCCTCCCCTCTTTGGTTGCCGGTTTGTGTTCTATCCTCCCCTCTTTGGCTGCCGGTTTGTATTCTACCCTCCCCTCTTTGGCTGCCGGTTTGTGCTCTACCCTCCCCTCCTTGGTTGCCGGTTTGTGCTCTACCCTCCCCTCTTTGGCTGCCGGTTTGTATTCTACCCTCCCCTCTTTGGCTGCCGGTTTGTGCTCTACCCTCCCCTCTTTGGCTGCCGGTTTGTGCTCTACCCTCCCCTCTTTGGTTGCCGGTTTGTGCTCTACCCTCCCCTCTTTGGTTGCCGGTTTGTGCTCTACCCTCCCCTCTTTGCCTGCCGGTTTGTGCTCTATCCTCCCCTCTTTGGCTGCCGGTTTGTGCTCTATCCTCCCCTCTTTGGTTGCCGGTTTGTATTCTACCCTCCCCTCTTTGGTTGCCGGTTTGTGCTCTACCCTCCCCTCTTTGGTTGCCGGTTTGTATTCTACCCTCCCCTCTTTGGCTGCCGGTTTGTGCTCTATCCTCCCCTCTTTGGTTGCCGGTTTGTGCTCTACCCTCCCCTCTTTGGCTGCCGGTTTGTGCTCTACCCTCCCCTCTTTGGTTGCCGGTTTGTGCTCTACCCTCCCCCCCGTTTGTGCTCTACCCTCCTCTTTGCCTGCCGGTTTGTGCTCTACCCTCCCCTCTTTGGTTGCCGGTTTGTGCTCTATGTCCCCTCTTGGCTGCCGGTTTGTGCTCTACCCTCCCCTCTTTGGTTGCCGGTTTGTGCTCTACCCTCCCCTCTTTGGTTGCCGGTTTGTGCTCTACCCTCCCTCTTTGGTTGCCGGTTTGTGCGCTTCTTACCCTCCCCTCTTTGGCTGCCGGTTTGTGCTCTACCCTCCCCTCTTTGGCTGCCGGTTTGTGCTCTACCCTCCCCTCTTTGGTTTCTGCCGGTTTGTGCTCTACCCTCCCCTCTTTGGCTGCCGGTTTGTATTCTACCCTCCCCTCTTTGGTTGCCGGTTTGTATTCTACCCTCCCCTCTTTGCCTGCCGGTTTGTGCTCTACCCTCCCCTCTTTGCCTGCCGGTTTGTATTCTACCCTCCCCTCTTTGCCTGCCGGTTTGTGCTCTACCCTCCCCTCTTTGGCTGCCGGTTTGTATTCTACCCTCCCCTCTTTGGCTGCCGGTTTGTATTCTACCCTCCCCTCTTTGCCTGCCGGTTTGTGCTCTATCCTCCCCTCTTTGCCTGCCGGTTTGTGCTCTATCCTCCCCTCTTTGGCTGCCGGTTTGTGCTCTACCCTCCCCTCTTTGCCTGCCGGTTTGTGCTCTATCCTCCCCTCTTTGGCTGCCGGTTTGTGCTCTATCCTCCCCTCTTTGGCTGCCGGTTTGTATTCTACCCTCCCCTCTTTGGTTGCCGGTTTGTGCTCTACCCTCCCCTCTTTGGCTGCCGGTTTGTGCTCTACCCTCCCCTCTTTGGCTGCCGGTTTGTGCTCTACCCTCCCCTCTTTGGCTGCCGGTTTTTGTGCTCTACCCTCCCCTCTTTGGTTGCCGGTTTGTGCTCTACCCTCCCCTCTTTGGTTGCCGGTTTGTGCCCTACCCTCCCCTCTTTGGTTGCCGGTTTGTGCTCTACCCTCCCCTCTTTGGCTGCCGGTTTGTGCTCTACCCTCCCCTCTTTGGTTGCCGGTTTGTGCTCTACCCTCCCCTCTTTGGTTGCCGGTTTGTGCTCTACCCTCCCCCTCTTGGTTGCTGGTTTGTGCTCTATCCTCCCCTCTTTGGTTGCCGGTTTGTGCTCTACCCTCCCCTCTTTGGCTGCCGGTTTGTGCTCTATCCTCCCCTCTTTGGTTGCCGGTTTTGTGCTCTACCCTCCCCTCTTTGGCTGCCGGTTTTGTGCTCTACCCTCCCCTCTTTGGCTGCCGGTTTGTGTCTTCTACCCTCCCCTCTTTGGCTGCCGGTTTGTGCTCTACCCTCCCCTCTTTGGCTGCCGGTTTGTGCTCTACCCTCCCCTCTTTGGCTGCCGGTTTGTGCTCTACCCTCCCCTCTTTGGCTGCCGGTTTGTGCTCTACCCTCCCCTCTTTGGTTGCCGGTTTGTGCTCTACCCTCCCCTCTTTGGCTGCCGGTTTGTGCTCTACCCTCCCCTCTTTGGCTGCCGGTTTGTGCTCTACCCTCCCCTCTTTGGCTGCCGGTTTGTGCTCTACCCTCCCCTCTTTGGCTGCCGGTTTGTGCTCTACCCTCCCCTCTTTGGTTGCCGGTTTGTGCTCTACCCTCCCCTCTTTGGTTGCCGGTTTGTGCTCTACCCTCCCCTCTTTGGTTGCCGGTTTGTGCTCTACCCTCCCCTCTTTGGTTGCCGGTTTGTGCTCTACCCTCCCCTCTTTGGCTGCCGGTTTGTGCTCTACCCTCCCCTCTTTGGTTGCCGGTTTGTGCTCTACCCTCCCCTCTTTGGTTGCCGGTTTGTGCTCTACCCTCCCCTCTTTGGTTTGCCGGTTTGTGCTCTACCCTCCCCTCTTTGGCTGCCGGTTTGTGCTCTACCCTCCCCTCTTTGGTTGCCGGTTTGTGCTCTATCCTCCCCTCTTTGGTTGCCGGTTTGTGCTCTACCCTCCCCTCTTTGGTTGCCGGTTTGTGCCCTACCCTCCCCTCTTTGGCTGCCGGTTTGTGCTCTACCCTCCCCTCTTTGGCTGCCGGTTTCTGGTCTACCCTCCCCTCTTAAGTTGTCGGTTTGTGGTCTACCCTGTTGGTCTTTCATCGCACTATTTTTCTCTCTCCTTAATTAGTAAGTGACTGACCCACATAAAGATGATTGTGTCTGCCAGATGTGGGCTGTTTTCTCACTGAGTAATGATATATTCGACTGGCTGTTTTTCTTTGTTTAGTTCCTTCTTTTTGCATGTCTTTCTTGTTTCATTTCTGTCTTTGTCTGCCTGTTTCTATTTCTGGGCATATGTTTTTTTTTTTCTTTTCGCCTTCTTTTTGTTTGTCTTTGTTATTGTCTTTCTTTCTTATTTTTTTTTTTTTCTTTGCTTCCTTTATACTTCTTTCCCCTCTGTCTTTCCTTCTTTGTGTCATTCGTCTTTCTATTATTCCTTCACTTTATTATTTTCTCAATTCCTTCCACTCACCAACTTGTAGTGTTGTACAATATCGGCTGCTGATTTTGTCATTTTAAAGTTGCATATATCTGGCTGTGTTGATATCTTTGTTCCAGCAGGTGTGGCTTGAAGTCTAGTTCATTCTTAGTTCTGGGGAAACGAAATATATCTGTAAATGGAGCTGTTCTCTACATCCTTTACAAGAAGAAGAAGAAGGAGAAGAAGAAGAAGAAGAAGAAGAAGAAGAAGAAGAAGAAGAAGAAGAAGAAGAAGAAGAAGAAGAAAAGAAGAAGAAGAAGAAGAAGGAGGAGGAGGAGGAGGAGGAGGAGGAGTTGAGAAAGAAATGTTCATACTAAGAGAAAATGAACATACACTGTAGAGCATATTTGAGAGCTGCTTGTAAGTTATCGATCCCCAAGGATACTAGAGTTTTTAGGTACACGGGGAACACGGTTGAATGCGCCATCAATCCGATAAAGCGTTACATTTGGGACGTCTCATAGAAAGGTTCTGTTATTCTTGTCTTTGTTTCACGTCTACGAAGTCACTGTCTAATCATTGATTGCCAAGGTCGTGTTTTATAAGTCATTTCTTGGCACTTGGGAAGGTTTTGTACACTTATGCGAGGACAAGTACACAAATCAAGGGCTCCAGTGTAAGAGTTGTACGCACATTTGAGGTCTAGTACACAAATCAAGGGCTCTTGTGCGAGGGTTGTACACAAATTTGAGGTCTAGTATACAAATCAAAGGCTCTTGTGTAAGGGTTGTACGCACATTTGAGGTCAAGTACACACATCAAGGGATGCTGTTTGGGAGTTGTACACACATTCGATGTCATGTACACATATCAAGGGCCGTTGTATGGTCAGCATTCTGACATCACAGCAAGTGGTCATCAGCAAACTTGTGCTGGTGGAAATTTGGTCTGATTTGAACTTAGGACACATTGTGGTGCTGGCTCGGAGGCAGTCTTCCAACCAGCCGATAAAGATAAAAGAACAAGTACTTAACTGAGCCGATGGAGATAAATGGCGAAAAATTAGTACTCCAATGAGCCGATGAAGATAAATGGCGAAAAATTAGTACTCCAATGAGCCGATGAAGATAAATGGCGAAAAATTAGTACTCCAATGAGAAGATAAAGATAAGTGGCGAAAAAGTAGTACTCCAATGAGCCGAAGAAGATAAACGGCGAAAAAGTAGTACTTAACTGGGCCGATGGAGATAAATGGCGAAAAAGTAGTACTTAACTGAGCCGATGGAGATAAATAGCGAAAAATTAGAACTCCAATGAGCCAATGAAGATAAATGGCGAAAAAGTAGTATCCCAATGAGCTGATAAAGATAAGTGGCGAAAAAGTAGTACTCCAATGAGCCGAAGAAGATAAATGGCGAAAAAGTAGTACTCCAATGAGCCGATTTAGACAAATGAACCAAGGCAGTCCTCCAAAGAGCCGATTAAGGAAACGTGCCCGTCTTTCTGTCTGTCTATGCCTGTTCTTTCCTCTTGATCTATTCCCCGTTTTTCGCTCGCCGTCAGTGCCTTGGTGATATATAGGCTAGTACCTGTCCTTGACATCCGCTTGAACCAAGTTTTCGCCAGGGACACAGATGAGTATCATTGATTTTGTACATTAGAGTCCTATGTAGTCACTTCATAATTAGAGCATATTTATGTATGTGTACTGTGTTGTTCTTTGTGTTGCTGATGAAGGCTAATCGCCGCAACGTCCGTTGTTTGTTTATTGTGATCGATTTTGTAAAGCAAACATAAACTGTTTGTTCTTTCTTAGCAACTTTTTCTCTTCCCTATAATTTCCTACCCCTTTAAAAACTTTATTTATTTATAATTATCTTCACCTCCAGGCTCTCCTTACTCTGCTGATATTTCATTTCACACACCGCGGTCACTAACCCCTAACAATCAACTAATTAAATATATTAAAAAAAAAAAATCGCAAGCTCCAGCAACGACCTGGGACAAATGCACCATACTAACACCTACTCCGCTCTGCCTCATTGACTCCCACCCCGCTCTGCCTCAGTGACTCAAACCCCGTTCTGCCTCAGTAACACCGACCCCGTTCTGCCTTAGTGAATCCAACCCTGTTCTGCCTCTGTGACTCCCACCCCGTCCTGCCTTAATGACTCCCACCCCGTTCTGCCTCAGTGAACCCCCCCCCCCCCCCGTTCTGCCTCAGCGACGCCTCCAGGTCCCACCTCAGTGACCCCCACCCCGTTCTGCCCGAGTTGACTGTCTCCACCAACTATGAACTGAACTAATCCAAGATAATCAGAGATGTACTCCTTAAATGCGGAGACGCGCTACGCCTTCAACTCAGTGGCGGATCAGTTTTGTGTTTACGCACCACCCTCTGACGATCTGAACCGCCTGTAGCGGCAACTTTGGAGCATACGCTCCACCGATCCAACACAGCACGTTGGCTCAAGTTGCCCGAACGCGCCGTTGTCTAGTAGTTGTGCAGTAGAACTGCTTGTCAGGTGTTGACTGAGACGCCAAGAGACCTATGTCACACACACAAGTTCAGTCAAGCTAGCCTCATTTCGCTCCAGTGGATTGTCATTACTTATGTAAGTTTCTGTTAGGCGCTAGAATATTTGTCTGTGTTTGAGGGGTGGGTGTCTGCAGCCGAGGATGGGTGTCTGCAGCCGGGGATGGGTGTCTGCAGCCGGGGATGGGTGTCTGCAGCCGGGGATGGGTAAAGTTCGCTTGCAGACTGCATAAACACTGTTGAGAGTTGAGCGAAGCAGGACCTGCGCGGTTAGGACAGTATCAGCTGCTTGTATTTATTTGAATGTATTTGGTTGGTGGGGACCATGAGAACGCAGTGCGTGGCCTGCCTGCCGGAAAGTCATTGGTTTAAATCTTTATTTACTCTTCATAATTTAGCTATTCCCCCAGGTCGACTCAGTCTGAAGTAGATTCTGAAAAATATGGGAAGTACATATGTGTACTGGCTACACTAGGTTTCTACATGTGTAGTGTAAGTCGGCTCTGTAGCTAAGTCGATGCGAACGCTTCGCTTCGTAATGCCGGGATGCCAGGTTCGATCCCAGCTGCGGGCAATGCGCCTTGCGTTGGTTTCGACAGTGGTATCAAGAAAGCCGACCGTCCAGAAGCAATGGCAAACTACTGGATGTAAATTGCCTAGAGAAACCACACAACAGCCAGGGGCTGTTAGGGTTGGTTCTGCAACGTCCTGTAAAAGATACGCAACTAACTAACTGGCTACACTAGGTTTGTACATATGTGTACTGGCTACACTAAGTTTGTACATATGTGTACTGGCTACACTAGGTTTGTACATATGTGCACTGGCTACACTAGGTTAGTACATATGTGTACTGGCTACACTAGGTTTGTACATGTGTGTACTGGCTACACTAGGTTTGTACATGTGTGTACTGGCTACACTAGGTTTGTACATATGTGTACTGGCTACACTAGGTTTTTACATATGTGTACTGGCTACACTAGGTTTGTACATATGTGTACTGGCTACACTAGGTTTTTACAGATGTGTACTGGCTACACTAGGTTTTTACATATGTGTACTGGCTACACTAGGTTTGTACATGTGTGTACTGGCTACACTAGGTTTTTACATGTGTGTACTGGCTACACTAGGTTTTTACATGTGTGTACTGGCTACACTAGGTTTGTAACTGCTGCTGACTGTCTGTCCACTAGGGGCAATGTGACATCAGTTAATCTGACGTGGTAGATTATTCTCCGGTTGATTGTCCAGCCGCGGAGATGATTGTCCAGTCGCGGAGACGATTGTCCAGCCGCGGAGACGATTGTTCAGCCGCGGTGACGATTGCCCAGCCGCGGAGACGATTTCCCAGCCGCGGAGACGATTGTCCAGCAGCGGAGACGTTTGTCCAGCCTGGCTGCAACAGATAATGCAGACAACGTCCCACTGACTGATTTTTGCTGAACGCCAGAGAGTACTGACTACAGTCGCCATGAGTACCAGCACTCAGAGGGTACTGACTACAGTCGCCATGAGTACCAGCACTCAGAGGGTACTGACTACAGTCGCCATGAGTACCAGCACTCAGAGGGTACTGACTACAGTCGCCATGAGTACCAGCACTCAGAGGGTACTGACTGCAGGCGCCATGAGTACCAGCACTCAGAGAGTACTGACTACAGTCGCCATGAGTACCAGCACTCAGAGAGTACTGACTACAGTCGCCATGAGTACCAGCACTCAGAGAGTACTGACTACAGTCGCCATGAGTACCAGCACTCAGAGAGTACTGACTGCAGGCGCTATGAGTACCAGCACTCAGAGGGTACTGACTGCAGGCGCCATCAGTACCAGCACTCAGAGGCAAAATGGCCTGGTCAGGCAGACGGCGACTTACGGCCATTTGGTTGAGCTAGTGTCGGAGGGTCGAATTATCCGTGGGTCAAATTATTCGTGGATCGAATTATCTGTGGGTCGAATTATTATCCGTGGGTCGAGCCACTGCGGGTGGAACTATCCAGGGGACGAACCATCCGCGGGTCGCGGCAGGGAAGCTACTATATATATTAATATGATCATGGTTGGTCTGTTATCTTCGTATAGTTTTAGATTACGGTGTCCCCGTGTGGCTTCCAGGGCCCCATTGTTGGGAAAATAAAAATAGATTGACTGCCCCCCCTAACAAGCATGTCGTAAGATTGGGGAGATCCTTCAAAGTCGGAGTACATTTACATGAAAGGCAATGGACCACACAATCTGCGTACAAATAAGCTAGATCTTTGACACGGAAGTGCCGCCACGGAGAAAACAATAATAGTAATGTTCTAGGAGCAGGGGTTAAAACCTTGTTTATTTGGGCAGTAGTAATAATAACACCATTACTAAAAATAGTTATTATTATTACTATCACTGAGCAGTTTAACAAGGCTTTAGTCCCTATGACAATATTGGGAGCTTAAGGGGCTTGATCCTTGTTTGACTGCTCAAACCCCGCCCCTAGAACATCGATGTTTATATATACATGGGGACTTCCTTTGAAGACACACACACACACCCCAGTCAGGCCACCATC